GGTTGTGATCTCAGGATGGTGTTGTTTCCTGTGCGGAACAGTTAAACTGCATTTAGTTTGTTCTTTAGGTCGTAAAATTGTACCCACTAAAAAAAGTGTCATAAACATTATAGGCTGTAGTTGAGAGAGGAAACCTCAGCGGAGCTCCTGTACAAAAAATGTGATGAATGGAGAAACGGTTCGTTTGTGCTGCTAACATGAATGATCCCTCAGTCTTATTGCTGAGAGGGGTAATATTGGTTTTCTAAGTGATCGGATTGACAGTTTTGCCTAATGGATGATCAAATAATTGAAAACAATTCAACAAACTTGCACTGAAAGCGTGTAATATTCTGCAGTGTACCTTCATGTCAATCATTCAGCTGAAAAAGCACTGAAAATATATCTTCCCAAAAATTCCTTGAGACAAAAAGTTCCAGAAAAAAATGAGGTGTGATGCCTGACCTTGAGACAGCACTGAACAGACTGTACATCCCTCACAGCCTTGTTTTCAGTCGTGTTCAATTATGTAAGGTGTCTACCCTGACTCATGGTCCATTACTGAAGAGCATTATTAGTGTCACATGTGGCCACGGGAAGCGTAAATTTTGCGGTTGTGATCTCAGAATGGTGTTGTTTCCTGTGCGGAACAGTTAAACTGCATTTAGTTTGTTCTTTAGGTCGTAAAATTGTACCCACTAAAAAAAGTGTCATAAACATTATAGGCTGTAGTTGAGAGAGGAAACCTCAGCGGAGCTCCTGTACAAACAATGTGATGAATGGAGAAACGGTTCGTTTGTGCTGCTAACATGAATGATCCCTCAGTCTTATTGCTGAGAGGTGTAATATTGGTTTTCTAAGTGATCGGATTGACAGTTTTGCCTAATGGATGATCAAATAATTGAAAACAATTCAACAAACTTGCACTGAAAGAAGAACTCAAGCTGTATTTACTTATACTTACACTGTAAAAAAAATCCGTACAATTTACGGTAAAAAAAAAAAGGAATTTTATCCTAAAAAATACGGTAGCAACGTTTTAGGTTTTAACTTAAATTTACAGTTAAATACCGTAATTTCATTAACTGATATAATGTTAATATACCAACCTATTGAAGTACTGAAATCTGTTTTGTACCTTTGTAATACACTGATAACCACCAAATGCAGGTGGTGATGAGAAAGTCACGTGATGAACCAAAGCCCATCACAAGCAGCTTTTAAATAATAACATATATAGAAGGTGCACAGTGTCATTCACACAAACTTTAAACAGCATCATGGTAACACACAAAACTGAAATAATGCAATAAACATTCATTTAACAATATTAGGTGTACCACACAAACCTAATATACAAAACTGATAAGAAAAAACTAAGAAGAAACAGTTATTTCAACAAAGACTGTACATCCCTCACAGCCTTGTTTTCAGTCGTGTTCAATTATGTAAGGTGTCTACCCTGACTCATGGTCCATTACTGAAGAGCATTATTAGTGTCACATGTGGCCACGGGAAGCGTAAATTTTGCGGTTGTGATCTCAGGATGGTGTTGTTTCCTGTGCGGAACAGTTAAACTGCATTTAGTTTGTTCTTTAGGTCGTAAAATTGTACCCACTAAAAAAAGTGTCATAAACATTATAGGCTGTAGTTGAGAGAGGAAACCTCAGCGGAGCTCCTGTACAAACAATGTGATGAATGGAGAAACGGTTCGTTTGTGCTGCTAACATGAATGATCCCTCAGTCTTATTGCTGAGAGGTGTAATATTGGTTTTCTAAGTGATCGGATTGACAGTTTTGCCTAATGGATGATCAAATAATTGAAAACAATTCAACAAACTTGCACTGAAAGAAGAACTCAAGCTGTATTTACTTATACTTACACTGTAAAAAAAATCCGTACAATTTACGGTAAAAAAAAAAGGAATTTTATCCTAAAAAATACAGTAGCAACGTTTTAGGTTTTAACTTAAATTTACAGTTAAATACCGTAATTTCATTAACTGATATAATGTTAATATACCAACCTATTGAAGTACTGAAATCTGTTTTGTACCTTTGTAATACACTGATAACCACCAAATGCAGGTGGTGATGAGAAAGTCACGTGATGAACCAAAGCCCATCACAAGCAGCTTTTAAATAATATCATATATAGAAGGTGCACAGCGTCATTCACACAAACTTTAAACAGCATCATGGTAACACACAAAACTGAAATAATGCAATAAACATTCATTTAACAATATTAGGTGTACCACACAAACCTAATATACAAAACTGATAAGAAAAAAATAAGAAGAAACAGTTTTTTCAGCAAAAAAAACATCACATTTGAAATGTAACGCAGGGAATTCTGGGAATGTCAATTTACGGTTATTCACTGTAAATTATACGGTCTTTTTCACTTCCAAAAACGGTATACTACCGTAAAATTAATGTCCAATACATGTAATGTCCAATACAGTTTTTCACCGTATATAGTAGGGGAATTTACCGTTAACCATTTAACAAGTTTTTACTGTAGCATTTTTACAGTCTTTTACCATTAAATTCACGGCCATTTTTTACAGTGTACAACATCTTAGCAGCACAGTCCTGGCAACCACATGCTGAAAACTACTTTAAACACCCTGGCAATCACCCAATAGTTCAACAGATAATTATTATTTCAAAAGGTACTGAGAACAAAGTTGTATTTGATTTATAACCCAGTTGTCACACACACACACACAAGATGGTCTGAACCTCTTACAATGCCGAGAGAACCTCAGTGCTCAGAACAACAGGCACATTGTTAGACTAAAGACATTCAGGATCCAGGACGAATACGTGTGTAAGGAAAAACCTCACCGTTAGGAGACGGGATGTAGGTGAGTGAAAAGTGATGTTCAGTCGTGTGAGGATGGAGAACACAAGAAGTGAACAAGCTCACTGGAAAGAAAACCTTAACGAAATCTTTGATATCGCAATTATTGCTCATTGAAAGCAATGGTGATAAATGAAGACTCATTTATTACCGCTTGAGAAAAAGTGTCACTTCTAGAGTTTTAGAAAAGATCTCCACAATATCTCAAACGGTGTCAAATTCCTTCATTTTAATAAGAAATGGAATAGCCATATCATTTTATAGTGCTATACATGTCTCCAAATGTATTGCCTATTTTATTTGTTTATTTATTTTTTAATTTAAAGAAAAGTTATAGGAAAAAAAACTCTGATTTTAGAATTGTTTATACTATTATTTAATGTTTTGAATTATCATATTGAATTCATATTTTCAGTTTTCATTTTAACTTTAGTAATTGTGTTATTTTGCAACTTTGTCATGTCTTGTTCATGTGTTTTCAATAAATATTGCACGCTGTTATTGTTTTTACCTCTTTTTATTTCTATTTGCTATTATTTTAGTTTCAGCAATTTTGAAACTCTTTAAATGAAAACCTCTTAATTTCCTTATTGTAAGTTATTAGTTATTTTTTTATATTATTTTAGTATTTAATATTCAACATATCAGCTTTTTTATTTAATGTTTTATATTTCCAGTTTTCATTTTAAACTTAGTTTTAGTAATTGTGTTTATACAATTTCACATCATGTCTTATGCGTTTCTTGTCAATAGTATGTGCTTTTTTATTAGGTTTTATTTTTATTTTGTATTCATCTTTAATTTACTTTCATTTCAGTTTCAACAATTTGAATACTTATTTCAACAAAGACAGCATTTCTAATTTTCGTTTATGTTTTCTTAAATACTTTTTCATCAATTATTTATATTTTATTTTAGCTTTATTTCAATCAATTAAAATGAGAGCGCTGTCCAATGGTTAATGAATGAAGGAGGGGGTGAGTGAGAGAATGGCCTGGGTGTTCTCTGGCTGTGATTCCCAAATGAAGCATGAAGAACTCAGAATCACACTGAAAAGGTTTGGAGAGGAGAGGAGAGGGAAGAGGGAATGGGAAGGGTGTTGCATCACAGCAGACAAATTAACTGTCTGGGAACGGAAGAGAAATGTGGAAAAGCAGCGACGCATCCTTATGTCTGATGTAATATACAGTGAAAGGTAACTATGTCAGCCTGTAGTGGAAGCACGTTTTTACTTCATTCCAAAATTTCACAATATCGCTATATGAAATATCGGAATGGTCTCCTGAAGACACACCTCACAACGGGTCTCATCCTACAGGTTGCTTTTGCTGTCATGGCTTTTCCTGCTGCTCAGAAATGTGTTACTCTCAAAGCCATCTTAAAGCATTTTCCCTACCAACACCAACCTGACTACAAAACAAACCTTTGAATTTGGGATTGTTGTTCGAATGTTACACTAGCCTAAGCTTATTCAGCATGACTAGACATGCCACACACACAAGCACACCCTTTCCTCGTTACATAATTGACAAAAACACACCCAAAATGACCCGGCATGACATAAAGACAGAGAAATGCATCAGTGCATAAAACTACAAACTTATTCAAAGTAGCACTTATACCTGCAGTTACTGTAGATTACATGCAAGACTCACATAAAAATGTTAACAAAATGGAAAAACTTAACATACAGTTGTCCCAAAAATCATTTAAATAGTTTAGAGACACTTAAAATGTCTGCATATCATTGGATTGCATAACATATACACAAACACAGTATGTAAATAGGTATCCTACCCATGTGTTTTCAAAAGGGAAATGTGATTATTAATCCAGCACTGATATGAATTATAAGGAAACCCTATTAACATTATAAAAAATGTCATATAAAATAATTTCACTCACTATCTATCTATCTATCTAAAGTACTGATGTGATGCTAAACAGACCTAATGTTGAATTACAAACGGGACGACTGAGTGAGTGAGTGATGAATGAATGAATTTGATCAATAATAAATGTGGCAGCTTCTTCCGTCTATCGATATTCAAAAAAAAATGTTAGCAACTACGGTGGCTTTTCTACTTTTGTACGAAATCGCCGCATTTATAGCCTACGTGGTTTGTGGAGGTTTTAAGAAACTGACTCTTACCTGTGTGTGGAAACTGGGTCACCCGTCCTCCGAAAGTTTGTCTATTCTCCTCAGACTGTGGTAAATCCCTCCCGGACCCCGGAGCCAGTGTTCAGCCCCTCTCACAAACACGCCCTCGCTCCCCCTCTGAAGTCAGCCTGAGCCTGCATGCCCCGGGCCAAACCTCCACCAACTCCTCGAGGTATTCCCAAAACTTCCTCATCCAATTATGTGCTTTAACATGCTTTTTGGCAACATCTCCAGGGAGTCTGTAACAGAAGTCTAGTGTTTAAGTTCCCATACTGATATTATACCGAACTTCGCAGATCCATCACATTAATTGACAGATTTAATTTAATGCTAAAAACTCCAAAATAATAATAATAATAAAATCTTTTAGAGCATTGGTTTTCATCAGTTTATCAGCCATTTTGCATGTCCCATTACGTTAATGAAATAGGCTATATTGAACCTCAGTCAACAGTCTTTTTAAAGGGGTCATATGACGTTGCTAAAAAGAACAGTATTTGGTATAATGAAATGTGTTTATGCGGTTTAAGGTTCAAAAAACATTATTTTCCACATACTGTACATTATTGTTTCTCCTCTATGCCCCGCCTTTCTGAAACACTTTTTTACAAAGCTCATCGGTCTGAAAGCGAGGTGTGCTGTGATTGGCCAGCTATCCAGTGTGTTGTGATTGGCCGAAAACCTCAAGCGCGTGACGGAAATGTTACGCCCCTCACCATACTGTGATGCCTGCGGCAACGACATTTGACATAACTGACATCTTCAATTAAAATCATGGGGACACTGCACATTTGCTATGTCTCCCTAATTTAACACACTTTATTCAGATCATCGTCTCATTTGCAGGGAGCTCCATTAACTAAACTGGGTCAGAAAAGAGAAACATATGCCTAACAAAACGCAGTGCAGATGGTCCCCAGAACCAGACTTTTTCTTTGCTTTTGTTCAGTTCAAACAAACAGCCGTGTTAAAACTGGACCAATGTGGAAAGAAATAATATATTGTCAAATTCAAATCCTGTAGGAAAAATAATCCAGAAGAATTAAATTTGATTTAACCCTATAGACCAGTGATCGGGAACCTTTTTTTGACCAAAGAGAAACTTTTTGGTTAATGTTTTTTTTTTCTTTTTCAAAAGAGCTTGAGCATAAATCCTCTTCTCTCTCTTTGTCTCTCTGTCTCTCTCTGTGTGTGTGTTTTTATGTGACTACTCACCAAGGCGGGCATTTTGTCATATTTCTGTCCCACAATTAATGTCTTATTGTGTCTATGCTTTGTTTGTTATAAAGAATGGATTCGCGAGCATGTACTGGACGAAATAAACAAACAAACAGCATTTTCAGCAGTTAGCTTATTCTAACTTAAATTACCCTGATTGGCTATTGCCTTCAAGAAATCAACAGCTCTCTCTGTGATTGGCTACTTGCTCAACGCTGCATGAACACGTTATAAATAGAAACATTTGATGTGCAAACACAACTATACTAGAGAGCTGTTATTACATCTTCAGCTGAGGGTGCTGCTTTCATTTGAGCATTTGTCAAAATGAGCCTAAAATGCTAAATAATACACCTGGCTTGGGATAGATTTCCAAAAGCATAAACATAAAATTGAGTTGTAATTACTGTTCTCAGTTTGTGAAAATGTTAAATACAGTTAGAAAATATTAAACATATTTCTTTTAAATGCAGTTTTATTTATCATATGTTCTCATATTGTTTTATTTTTATTGTTTTTGTAAAACTATAATTTTGTTATAATAATGATTTGATATGTTTGCTATTTGCAATAGTTACTATTTACTATTTCATAAGTGTTATTTTTGGTGAACTGTTAAAAAAAAACTATGGTAAGTTTGATCCTCAAACATCACTGTAATTAGTAATATGGGTGCATCTCAATAAATTAGAATGTTGTGGAAAAGTTCATTTATTTCAGTAATTCAACTCAAATTGTGAAACTCGTGTATTAAATAAATTCAGTGCACACAGACTGAAGTAGTTTAAGTCTTTGGTTCTTTTAATTGTGATGATTTTGGCTCACATTTAACAAAAACCCACCAATTCACTATCTCAACAAATTAGAATACTTCATAAGACCAATAAAAAAAACATTTTTAGTGAATTGTTGGCCTTCTGGAAAGTATGTTCATTTACTGTACATGTACTCAATACTTGGAACCCACACCAATTTTAAAAAACATGTAAAAAAAGATTATCCCTATTTTTAATTCGTAGATAAGCACAATAAGTGAGATTTCAGTGATATTTTGACAACTGAACTAGGAAATGTCCCCGGTCTTAATTTCAGAAATCTGGTCACCTTGGGTTTTTGTGTAGTTAATTAATTTATTTAAATTGTTCTAAATTGAACTATCCTGTATTGGTGATCTGTTTTAATCTAGAACTTTATCTATTTCAGTTATAATATGGGTTGTTATTGTTTTGGTGAATGTCTGTTTCTCTGTGCCCCACTACGAAAATGATCCCTTCCCCCACTCAATTCTATTTGTTGTGGAGGGGGCCGGCTTCTCGCGTTTGCCAGGGGGTCCTCAGCGCCAGAATTACCCAATCCAAGCGTGCGCTAGTGCCTCACCCCAGGGTGTGCACGAGTAAAGCCGGGCTCACACTACATGATTGAAAGTCTAGCCGAATCACTCTGTTGCTCACACTATGCAACAAGATTTGTTCCCCCCACTCAATTCCATTTGTTGTGGAGGGGGCCGGCTTCTCGCGTTTGCCAGGGGGTCCTCAGCGCCAGAATTACCCAATCCAAGCGTGCGCTAGCGCCTCACCCCAGGGTGTGCACGAGTAAAGCCGGGCTCACACTACATGATTGAAAGTCTAGCCGAATCACTCTGTTGCTCACACTATGCAACAAGATTTGTTCTCATCTGTCGTTGTCTTGTCATAGCTGCAAGCATACTAGCCTACACAACCCAACACTAACGAGGTGCACACACTACAAAACATTCAGTGAAGAGGCGTTCCCGACCATCAGCAAAAATACGTTTTCTCACATAAATTCTCGCGAGAAATTACAGCGATTATAGGCCATATCTTCAAGCATGGACGATCAACTGGTCCTTCAATTGGTCTGTGCAGTTATTTTATCAGAAAGAAAGAAGAAACCACGACAAAAGAGAATATGGCTGGATTAGTTCCACCTTGTCATTGTGTCGCTCAGATTATGAGATCACGTGGCGATAATATCAAACAGGTTTGAAAATATCGTAGTGTCTGTGATAGCTCGAGACAGGTTCGGATCACGTTGCTGACCTGCTCATATTTAACGAGCTTCGGCGACCGCAACGAGCACCGATTTGGTCATGATCCGGGGGTTTTGTCGCAGACTGTGGAAATCTGTCTGCGACAGCAAAATCCAGCCAAAAATGTAAAAATTTTAGGCTCTTTAAATATTCGCGCTGTAGTGACAACGTATGTCACGTGACAATGTCAACATGGCGGATGTAGTACGTCCGAATTTCATTCTACCCACATTTATACTATACAGAACGTACTTTTTTAATGGTCGAGTAGTACGTTCAAATTCAAATGTAGTACCTACTAAACAGTATGCGATTTCGGACACACCCTTGGCCCCCTCTGCCTTCCACAATGCTTGTCCGTGATCAGTTCTCTTTCGCGGCTTATTGGCTATAATCCAATAGGAATGTTTCTTTTTAATCAAGCACATCCCACTCTTTACTTTCTCATTCATCCATGTTTCTTTATTAATCATTTCAAACTGTCCGGCCCACTGAAAGCTGAGGGGGTTATCATACATAAATACACATTTATAGGACATAAAAGGTCTGTGCGGCAAAAGCAAAAGTATGTGGTGAAATATTTCGAAATGTCTTTTGGCACAACAGAGCACCAGTTTCAATTAAAGGATATAGGCTATTTCATATATATATATATATATATATGAACAGTAATTGCGCTTTTATTTTACAATTCTGACTATTTTTCTCTCAAGATATAAACTCAGAATTGTGAGATAAAAGTCTGAATTGTTTGAGAAAAACTAGCAATTCTGAGGAAAGTCTGAATTGTGATAATCTCGCAATTGCGAGAAAAGTCATAATTTAAAGGTAGCTAATAGTGACTTTTCATTTCACTATTCTGAATATTTCTAACAATTGCAAGTTTTGTTTTCTTCTTCTCAGAATTGAGAGTTTATATCATGCAATTCTGAAAAAAGAAAGAAGTAAATGCTATTTGTATTTTTATTCTGTGACAGAAATAAGCTTCCATTAAAAAATAAATCCAATAGGAATTATGTACATTTGCATTTCATGCATTTCGACACATTTGAAGTGCAATGTAATTCCAGTCCTGAAGCTGTGCACTGTCGCCATTGGATCTCAACTCAGAAAAAAAAATGGTAACACTTTACTTGAAGGGGTGTGCATAAGACTGACATGACACCTTCATAATCATGACATGACACATGTCATGAATATGAAGGAGGTTTTATGCATGTTTATGACAACTGTCATTAAGTGTTATTCGCTCAGTTATGTCATTTTTAATGCAAATATGACTTTATTTGACCTAACCCTACCCCTACCCTTACCCCTAACCATAGCCCATAACAAAGACATCTCAAACAATGTCATCTTTGCATTAAAAATTACATAACTGAGCGAATGACACTTAATGACAGTTGTCATAAATATGCATAACAACCCTTCATATTCATGACATGTGTCATGTCATGATTATGAAGGTGTCATGTTAGTCTTATGCACACCCCTTCAAGTAAAGTGTAACCAAAAAAATTATTATAATAATCAACTGCAAAGTCAATGCAAAATAAACACCAGAGTCCATTATTTTTTCCCAGTTTACATTGTCAATATCACTATTGTATAAATCAAAAGTCTACATCCCAGCCAGAATCATCCAGTGGTGCTGCTTCAGTGTGGGTTTCTGGCAGGAGTGCTGATCCTCCAAGATCAGAGACACAGGGAACCTGTAGAAAGGCTACATTTATTTGAACTGGACAGATGCATCGTTGGAAAGATGTGTTTGTTATATAAGTATATAATATAAACTGAATAGAGTGTTCTAAACTCTACAGTGTTCTGTTATGCTGCTCACGTTTGGTATTACTGGTGGAGTCAATGTGCCCTTCAGAAGTCCTTC